ATATATATATACATATATACATATATATAATTTTATTGGAACAAAAATATTAATCTATTATAATAACTATATTTGCTCTAATCATCAATACTAATACTATTTGCTTATAAAAAGAATTTTTACTGCAGCATACTATTAAATATGTATATGGTATGAAAGATGAAACTGCTACATGTAACACAAAAATAACAATTACGATATCGATATAATAATGCGATTCAATAATTTAGGTAAAATATATTCATTTACGAACAAGATAAAATTGAGCGAAAACGCGTTAAAATTATTCCGTATGTAGTAGTCTAGGGCTATTGATGGGGTCTAGGAATACCTTGAAGCTGCTTGACAATGGGCTATTGAGGGTTAGGTATTAATTCGGCAACGATGTCGGGGATGGGGTGTAGCCTCGAAGATACTAGTTCCAAAGCAAGACACGATAAAAATCGCAGAGTCGAACGACGCTATGTATTCGTTTATGAGGTGTTCTACCCTCTATAATAGATTACGCTAGATTAGACATTTTGGCATCGACGGGAACGGAAAGACTGACGTTCATCTGGAATCGTCTCGATCTCTCGCGTACGTCGCAATAGTGTAACTCTCACGGAAGTCCTACGGCGTGAGATAATCAAGCTCTCGTTACTTACGGCTGCAGAAGAAAGTCAGGAGCCAACCGTTAAATGTAATATCTCATAAAGGATATGCAATAAAGCACCACCACACTTTTCACCTCCTCAAACTACGACGACCGATCAGAAAACCTTGATCTGAACTCCGACATGCAAGGAATCATGGGTAGTACTTGCAGAACGCTGATAGGTCGGTTCGAACAGTCATATTTATTAATTCTTTTCCAATTTCACTGGGCTAATTTTGGCTCGGCAAAAAATGTTCTTAAATTATTTCGAACACACAATTTTTGCAATTCTATAGGTACTATGTCTTAAAGGAAATAATATTCGTAATAACATAAAACTGTACAAATTGAAAGATAAAATTTGTAAGAGTTTGTCACTGGTAGTGTCCAAGTGCGTTCGGAAACTATTCGTTTACCGTTGTTCAAGTTGCTGATTGGTGAAAATGTGATGTGGCTTCCATTAGTAAAAGATGAAATAAAGGGAACGATATGGATGCATTTCAGAAAACATAATTGCGGAACAACTGCGTAAAACAATATAGTAACCGGAAGTTGAGTTTTTTCACGATTTTAAAAGAAGTATTCAAAAATTTTTAGCAGAAAAATATAAAAAAATAAGAAAGAAAATAATAAAATATAATATCAGTAATATGATACGAATAAAAAATATGATAATATAAGAACTTAATACATTTTTAGAATTATAGTTTTTATTAAATATTCTTTTATACTGCTGATAAAAAAATCAAATACAAAAATCTTAAGTTATATTCTTGATTTATAAGTGCAATTAAAAATTTTTTAAATTATATATCGAGTTATCAAGCTTAGCAAGTGTAAATAAACTAAAATTAACTAAAGCTAAGTGTAAAAATTATATTTTAGCCTGTATAAAAAATATTAGACATTTAGTATTTAAAACGAAGTTCTATTAGTTACAAATATATATCGTTGATACGTTGAATCTATACAATAAAAATTAATAATAAAAATTAATAAGTCAAAGAAATCGTAAATTACTAGTTTCTAATAATTTTTCAACCATTAATAATAATTTCTATAGAAAGGACATACTTTTTGTTTTTAAAGCAAAAGTAGGTGAATTTCGGACAAATCAGATTACTTTAAAAATTATTTCTTTGCGATATCTATATTGTAGACCTTTTCCTTGTGTTTGGTAAATTTATCTATGCATCTCTATCTCAGGTAAAGGAACGGAAGCGAATGTTGACTAATAGGTGTGGCGATTATTGGTTGCTCCTGTGTACAAGACTCCACCTACCTGTACGCCTATTTCTGATTTAAACTCCGATGGTATGACGTCTAAACGAACAGGTACTTACCAAAACAAAATATAAAAGTTGAACAAATATATTACTATTATTTTCGTACCATTTTAAATACTCAAAAAAGTGATTCACAGTATTCCAAAACAGTACTATGCCAAAAAGATTCTCAAAACCCCAATAACAAATAACGAACAAAAGCTTAGAAAAATATTATCACAACGCAAAGAAATAATTCGTGAATTCTTCAAAATGTATATTATTATATTATTATCAAATTCACCGTGATGAATTTCTTAATACCAAAATAATATCTGCATAATTTCATAATATATAAACAAAAAACAATTCGAATCTTCGTTATACACAAATTTCTCCACAGAAAGGAACCTCCAACAATTCGTCCCTGCAAATTCATCAACTCCACATCAATTTTTCTTCATTCCAAGAAATCTTCGCGAACCACCTCCTACTCGTGAATTCGATCGCGAGTATCGCGAATCGAGCCCTAAGAGTGAGTCGTCGGTGAACTCTGCGAAAAGTATTTAGCCAGAAGAGGGGGTGAGAAAAAGGGGTGGCGTCGGTGGCGGAAGGTAAAGTTCGAAGGACGAACGGAGGGTTGAGGAGCTATCGGGCGTGAATAATGCGCGGCGCCGTCCGCTCCTTGGTTCGATTCCGGCTCGGCTGGATGGATTGATAAAGATTAAAGGTAAAGGGAGGTGGCAGCAGGGTCCAGGGGTGTTTTCGAGTTAGGCGACAGAAGTCAGCCAGCGAAACGAATCGGCCGCACGTATGGAGGGGGATGATGTCACATAGGGGTTCCCCCCAGCTTAAATACATACAGATGCAAGCCGGACTGATGCATCGAGACTCGGGGCACAGTGACGTAGGTAGCGATGGATTTTCGCCGAATTTTTCCCTCTTTCACGGATGTCAATGTAGATATTTTTTCTGTTTCAGGAGGGATACGTGGAAGAATCTTTTTTTAAACCCAACAATCTCCTTTTGCGGGAAACCAAGATTCTAAAGAATTGTTTTCGTTCACTCTTTCAATGATCGTTTTGTCTATTCGTTTTTAATTCTATTAGACGAAAAGGATTAATATGTTAGACAGGAATATTAGCATTTTCTTTCGAAAAATCGTCAGAAAAGAGATTTCGGGAGTAATAGAATTGGTCATATTTTATCTCTTTCTGCACTGTTGGTATGTTAGTTTCGTAATGAAAAGTGGACTGTTTACTTACTTCTATAGCAAACAATTCTCTTATCGTTTAAACTATATTCTTGTATTAAACGATCACCAAAAGGAAGAGATCAAATCCCATTATCTACTTGTCACTTTTACAATACTTATATAAAAAAATGTAGATAATACGAACGATGTAAACAATTCCTTGCATCGGTTAACGAAAGTCGCAGTCGATGACGGCCCACTAAAATTCGTACAGAGCACCCGCATACCCAGCCTGATCGGTACCGGTAGCGTCGAATTAACTAACGTCGAAAAGCGGACTGTGTGACCAAGTGAACGGGCCACTGGCGAAGCGGTTCCTTAACGATCGCGTTATGATCACGCGGAGGCTGAAACGCCACGTCGGTGACCAAGGGTCGTTTTATCTCGCGATGGAACAAAGGAAATCGTTACGCGAACGTCGGGGATTCTCGGTCGCGAGTCGCAATATCGAGGAAGCTCCGCGACGAAACGGCCATTTAAAATGAAATACAATTCTTCCCGTCGTGAGGCGGCGTACCAACGGCGACGCGATGTTCCAGCGACCTTCTAGAAAATGGAACTCGTAAAAGACTTCTCTCCTTTTCTTCTTTTTTCTTTTTTTTTCAGGCTAGTTTGGTGGGCAGCGTCGCTCGAGGAGGAACTTTTTCTCACGAGAGAGTGTTGGAGATGCACGATAGCGATAATATCACTTGGCCCGTTTGATAAGAGCGAAGTTCCTTTTTAATCTTCAATTAATGTCCCTCTCGCACCATATTCATTTAATGGAATTACACGAACGTGGAATCAGTGTCTCCTGCAAGAAAAAGGTTGTTACTCGAAACGAACTTTTCATCTTTGATGTTCATCTCTGAACACGAATATTTTATTGCCATTTGAATATATCGTTTCACTTATACCGATTTTCAGGTACCTGGATAAATTTGAAGTGTCGACTTCCACGTCTTGAATCTTCAATTTCACGACAGGCTTCCGTAGACGTCCTGTTTTAACATCCTGAAACGTGACAAACATTAGAGCTCTCATCTCTGTATTCTTCGTACAACGTTTATTTTATTATCAATATTTCTCACGAAGTCTCTTCAGATTTCTCCCTCTGGAGGAACGACACTCGAGCTACTCTAAATCAGCGATAAAAATCTGGCAAGCAAATCGAGATGATCCTAAGAACACGTTCGCGATATATCTCATGGACCAACGTCTCGTTGACACTCGAACGAAAGTATCTGAGAAATGGTCTACGCCAATGGGAACGGCTCGGCACGGATGACTCACGCGATCTCTCTCGCAGCCTCCTTTGCACGGTCCCGTATGGTAGTCATGCACAATGGAGAATAGTAAACGCAGTAAAGGTAACTCGGAGAGAAGAGGGCCGGTGGTGCAGGGCCAGCTACCCCTGTGAGCGAGTACCCGCGGGTCACGTGCCACGATTTTCACCCCCGTACGACCGATTGCCAGTCCAAGCAGATCCGGATCGCTCGTTCCCGACGATTTCGCACGGGATCACCTCGAATAAAACTATGACTCGCGTGTACATTCGCTTCTCTTAACACTAGAGCTACTAAACCCGTAAAAATGGCGGGTTTCTAATTTTTGGTGATTACTGAAGATACACAGGTGTTTTTGAGAAAATTACTATTGATCTTTATCCAGACAGAAGCACGATTATGTATACTTAATCGTATATGACGCGTATTACAGGTCAGTAGTTCTAGTGTTAATTGAGACCTAGATCTTAAAGTTGGAATCATAGCCGAATTTTTAAGTAAATATTATTAATAGATGCGATTGTTATTCCCATTTTCTCATTTTTATTTCTCGCTAGTTTTGGACCGAGTAATTATGTTTCAGATTAGATACGAGATTTGATGTAAAGAAAGTTCGCAGCTCGAGTAATTCGCAGACTTAGTGGCAAGGTTGTTGCGTAAGGTAGCTGGGGTTGGAAGATAAACGAGATAGTCGAGGGTGAGTCTTGTTTGCGTTCGATACTTGTACAGTCGGCTTGTTATGTTAATCGACTTTCTAAGTTATTCGGATGGAGGAAGAGTAGTATGATAAACGAGTATACTTTTTCCACTTTCTTAACAGTGTTCGTGTATGCGCTAGAGAGGAAGAGATAACTGGAATATTCGATCTGCAAGGTATCAACAGATTCTTAGCACTTTCGCAATGTGTGCTGTGTACTTGTGTGCCACAGCGAGTTCCACTAATTGAGAACGTCGTTACGATCCTCCTCTGGGCTGCTACGCGTTTCGCTGTAATTTACACGCGTTTCGAGCTCCCACTGGAATAAAGTTATTATCCTTCTTCGTTGTTCTTACCAGTGTGGCATCATCCATCGCCAAAAATCGACGAACAACGTAATCAACCACAATTAGCGCAAACAGGATTTACCTTCATCCACGTACTGCTAATCCTCTTCCAACCACCTCTATCTTAAACAACAACCTCCGTCGCAAACTTCGCGAATTTCTCCAATTATACAAACCTTCTCACAGTAGATCTAATACCATGCTGGGTAAAATAATAGTTTTGAAATTGTAAACGTGATTGAAGAATTCATATATCACGAATTATCGAGCTTCACTTAAAAGATCTCTTTTAAGGAATTTTTTCTGTTAAAATCAAACTTTACCCTATTTTCGTCGAATGAAAAATTTGAAAACGAAAGAACTAGGTTCCGATATTTCTATTTTACAATAAATCTCGTGTCT